GTTTAGAAAGTGTTTTTATTGGTTACAATTATATAAAATTCATCACTTGAATTCCCTCTAGTTATAAAGTGCTTGCTAGCATAAAAACACTTCTTAGGCATCTAACAAGCTCCAATGATCTCTTTCACGCCAGAAGGGGAAGAACACCAAAGGACACGTCTGTCTGTAAGGAACCTCTCTCTCTGTCTCTCTCTCTCTCAAGGCTGTATTGGTGAAAATCAACGGACAACCCCTTTTGTATGTCAAATTGTAAATTTTAATGTTTTCATTAGAATAGTCTTATATATCACTCCAACAAGAAACAATAAAATAACTAACAGCAAACTTCAATACAGGAACACTCTTCAGGTTAACAACTCCAACAAAAATGTAAAACGTAAATCACATATAGTACAATTGAAGTGTCCAAAACAATTTAAATAATTTTAAATATTTTATTTTTAAACTGCTACAAATGCTTTGTACATTTCAACATAAAGTCCCCATAACAAAAACGTAACAAAACGGGAATGGTTGCAAAAGGGTTAAAGTGGCACAAATTCACCAAACAAGCATCGAACTACACATTTTCAGAGGTAGATTACTGTTAAAGTTGAGAACAAAAAACAACATGAATAAAAAACCAAGCCATTTTCCACCAACTCAGTCATCAATTAAGGGGAAGGCATAGAATGCAGAGAGAAGTAACACTTACATCCACTCAGGACAAGGCCAATTTGGGGGCTTTTTGCTCTCTTTTAGAGAGGGAAGTGTAAAACCTGGCATGTAAGTTCATTTATACTTACGTGTGCACATACATCTATAGAGGCCTACGGTGCATCCTGGCTGTAGATATATTGCTACATAGTCTCTGATAATAGCTATAAATTAGCGCCAGATAATCATCGGAGAGGATAACGTCCATCTGGATATATGAACATGACAGTGGAAGAAGCATTTTAAAAAAAAAAGTCCATATCCAATCTGGTTTCCTCTCCATTATGCTGGCAATCTGCTTGTGATATATATTTAAAAAACAAAAACAAACAAACAGAACCAATAAGCTGAGAGAAGCTAAACGCCTCTCTGTATAGAACTCATTTAAAAGAAAGGCATCAAGAGCTGGTGTGTGACCAAGACATTTTAGAGTGAGTGCGTCAGAATTTGTCATCCCTGAAATCTACAGAGAACTAATCATAAACCACAACTTGCTCTGCAAGGTTAAGTTCCAATCATTCCCTTCTCTGTTGTGTGCCAAGACCCAGGGCTGTGCTTAGATCTGAGCCCCCAGTGCCGTGGCCACATGCCCTCCTCCTTGTACCCCGATCGCCCGGGAGCCCAGCACACGTGCCTGGGCTCTGGCAAAGCGGCGGAGATCAGACCCTAACCAGGGCAGTGAGAAGCCTGCCGACAGTCAGTTGTGTGTCAGGATTTTTGAGTCAGCTTCAACTGGTCTTGCCAGCATGGTAGATCTCATATCCGAGGCCGTAGTGCTTATCTTAAGTGGAGCATGCAATCTTTATTTAGTCAATTAAGGTTTGCTTTGTCTGGGGGGCTTTTCTACAGGAAGCTCCTAGAAAATAAGGAAACTGAAGATGAACGGCAACGTCCCACCACCTGACATGACTTGACCGTGTTAACGGAATTGTGCATAGACCGTTCCACGAATGTTGTTATGACAGCAACAGAAGGACTCTGAAGGTGCACAGGAACTTGGGTAGCCAACTTAGGAGAGGCTGGAAGGGACCACAAGCAGGTCTCTTTGGAGCGGTGTGTGGCAGAGACAGGTATGTGAAAACTCAGCATCACCGTGTATTTTAAATCAATCCATGGCCAGCAGGAAAACATGGTCTTCTCAGTCTTTACGTGTTTAACGGGTACACAGTATTTTTTTTTTTTAAGTTGCTCTAAAAGAAGCATTAAAGAACAGTAAGAACACCTTGAAATTTACAAAGACCAGAGATGGTCTTGGTCTTTCCTCCTTACAGCAGGTGGAAATGAGCCCTTAGCAAAAGATCTAACTCCAGTCTCACAACACACAGGTGGGCTCTGGCCACTGACCGTGGGAGGTGAGCCCAACACAGAGTAGGGCACGCTGGGCTGACAGCTGTCCCAGGACCATCTAAAGATGGGTGGTATGCCTGGTGTCCTCTGCGGCTCTGTGCTAAGAAGAGACTTGGAACACGTGTCTTTGTTACACCCTGACTGGCACAATGTCTTGTGCTCCAGGAAATGACCAACTGGCAAATTCTGCTGAGCCCTCAGTAGTCAGTGGGAAACTCTGACTTCATTCACACGGCTTGAGAAACTGTGGAATCCTCAACTGGCATTCAAATGCAAAATGTCCGAGGGCTAGGGACTAGCTCTCCATCACAGTCTGTTAGGCTGAGACACACAGGAAAAGGATGTATGGCCAATTCGGTGCAAGTCCTTGAATATGCAATGCGCCAAGTAAAGCAAAATCACTGAAAAAACCAAGGAAAGCAGCTCCTTCTAAACATGCGCCATGAAATCATCCCTGAATAAAATCTGCAAGCGGAAATATAGAGAAGGGACGAAGACAACAGCTAAAACAATTCCTTTCCAGTGTAATACGCCCAACACGGAGGGAGGATGAGGCTGGCTTTCTAAGAGCTCTGGGCTGGACAGCGATGACCTCCCAGCTGCCCGAGGCCAGAGCTTAGGAATCCCAGTTTTACAGCAAATGCACAACAAGGTGTGAAGAAGATCACAAACAAACTCTCCGAAGAAATGCCCACTCTTGGGCGCAGATAATTAAACTATGAAGTCCTACGGAACATGTTGATTTTTTCACTTCCCAAAAATACTTCACAAATCTGTGGTCCCCTGTAAGCAGCCCTCTCCCCCTCCACACCTCTACCCCAGTGTAAGACACACGTCCTTTCTTCAGATGTGCCCACAGTACATGCCAGCAATTCATGCCACCGGGGGCCACCACCGGGAAGGGGAGTCCTGCTGCCACCATCTACCTGCTGGAAATAACAGCAATGTTTTCGTATCAGACTCTTCAGTGTTTCCTTTTAGGCCAAATCCATTCCAGCCACGGAACCCTCTATTAACTATCAAATCAAGCAAAATTATTAAGATTAACTGGAGCAAAGAGACAAAATTTTATTAGGCACTTTGGTCCTTTGAAGTTTTCGGGGTTCTTCAAAAAGCACTGGATAAATAAGAGGCCAAGTGAATGAACTTCACACACGTATAGTCACTCAGAGAGTTTACCTTCATTGTACTTTAATTCGCATGACCTCGCCCTTGAACCGTATAAATGGGATACGTACAAAATGAGCGACGCGTTCAGGCGAGGACGCAGACAAGAAGGGATGCAGAGTACATTCTAGAGCATCAACCACCTGGGAGGCGTTTTTAGTAAAGTCTATGAAAATGATGGCATTTTCTGGTTCTTTAACCTTGAAAAGGACTCGGTTCAAGAACATCCCGTTGCCGTGGAACTTCCAGAACACAGACGGGGTACAAACACGTACACGGTTAAACTGCCACAGGCAGGCAGCTCGAAGAGCTGAGAAACAGGTGCGCACTGTTGCTGGGGCTAAGCTCCGAGATGCTATGCCAGGCATATGCCATGCCCGGAGACCAGATGCCGATCTGGAACTACCGGGACGGATTATTTAGTTCACTCATGAAAGTCGCTCTTTAAAACTGGGACCCTTCCTTCCTACAGTCAATTATTCCCATCAGCCTTGGCTGATGACCCTCTCTACATCCTTCTTCAGCCATGACTTAAGGCACACCTGCACCAAGGAGTCCACTCATCAACTGTGCAGTGACCACAGCACCTCGGCGTCCTCAGGACTCTCCGAGATGGCAGTCACTCCCCAGAATTCATTCTAACGCTTTCACCCCTCAGAATTCATACTAATGCTTTGCCTGAAACACCAGAGTTTTCAGACACTCAAAGTTACAGCCAAGAAAGCCTAGAGCCGAGCAGCTCATCACTCTGAAAGGACAAGATTTGCAAGTTATTTTGCAGCAATTCTATCTGATGTTGCCTGTGTCACGTGGGATTCACCCGGAGGCATCACCCAGGAGCAGGGATTCGGAGAACACACATCAGCTCAGGTTACCTGAGTAACTTGGAAAGTCTGAAAAGTCAGTATGACAAATTTAACCACTGCCCTGTGTTTTTAATGTGTCACTGAGAACAGTTCTTAATGCAGGGGGGGACACAGAATAAAGCAGTGAAGTCACCTCCACCCTAGATGGAATTCTTCTGCCATTACTGGGGGGAACAAAGGCACTGACACACCCGCCTGAGGGACCTGCCAGGCTCTGCGCCCCCCATGCAAGGCTCTCAGCGCTCCCTGCTCTCCTTTCCTCGGAATCTGGCCCGTTTCTTATCCTCTGTCTGGAGAGGGGAATGGGTGGGGAGACATAAGGCATCGTAAAAGGAGTACGGTGTCGTGTGTTTCTTTTAGCCAATGAAGCAACTTTTTCAAATTAAAACACGATAAAAGAAAGCATCAATAATAAAAGCATGCTCGATTATTGTAACTATGCTCCAGTCACAGAAATATTAAACAAGACTACAATGCGGTTTCAACGAACTCGGTGATCCAACAACCTTAACCATGAGCGATGATCTATGGTCCAGAAATAACACAAAGTGACACTGAGATATGACCCAAGATAGGAAGGAAGTGTGAGAACATTTCATCTTTCCGTAATAGGGTACTTTTGAGAGCGCTTTCATGGTTTCAAATTCAATTCACAACCGGCCCTATCAAAGAAACGGTACCACTCGGTGAGTCCTAGATCTGACACAAAAGCTGGAAATTCAGGTCTGAGGCAGTCAAAGCAGTATGACCCTTCTTCGTGCCTCCAACTGAACCAACAGCTACTTCCTTTAAATGCTTATGTCAAAATTCTACAGGAAAAAAGGAAAAAATAGCCATTGGGCAAGAATACTGTGTTCTTCCAACCGTCTTCCCCCCCGCACTGGTCAGCTCGGACTTCCTCTGGCCCTGGAAGACTCAGCTTACCTGAAGTCCTTCAGCTCCTGCTTGCCACCGCTGTCCTCCCTCCTGCTGTCCCCCGGGTCAGCAGCGGCTGCCAGCTGGAGGCTTCGGGTGACCGGCCCCCCACTCCGTTCTCTAGATTTTACATTGAACCGGTCTGTTCTTTTCTTACTGGCCAAAGAGGATTTGCTCTGCAGGACAGCTTTGCTCTTCTGCACCCGCACGTGCAGGCCGCGGGCCGTCTTGCTCGCGAGCGGAGCAGAATGATTCTTGGCCACAGCTTTGGGCTTCTTCCCCTCAACGTGAGTTATTTTGGCCATTCTGATCGGGCTCGAGTTCCTTAAGGAGGAGCTTGGCTTTTTGGACTTGACCGAAGCCGCGAATTTGACATTCTGCTTGGACCTGAAGGACGAGGAGGGCAGCGGGACCGGTGCAGGGCCCGAGCTGCGTGCTCTGGTCTTGCCCAGAGGAGCCTGCGTGCTCTGCATCTTAATCTCCGCGTCCGCCGTCCGTCGCCGGTGGCTGCTGCTGTTTTTGTCGCTACCTGCAGGTGAGGAGTGTCCGCCTTTCTTGGATGAGTGGGAAACTTTTTTTTTGGAAGGAGAGAGCGGTTTTTTGGGACAGCTGAAGGCAGCGTGTTTGTTCAGGCTCCCGATGTACGTGAACTCCCTGTTACAGTATGGGCAGATGTGCGAGGACGACTCACAGGCGGTTTTGAAGTCGGCCTTCTGCTTCGCAGATTTGTTTTTCTGAAGGATTGCTTTCTGGACCAGCTGGTTTTTTTTCTTCAATGCGTTTAGTTTGAGCTTGTTTGAGGACATTTTGCTGAGTTCGACGCTAAAGTTCAGTCTTTTGGGCTGTCCCATTCGTCTGAAGGCGTTCTTCCCGGAGTTATCGAGAACCACCACACCATTTTTGGGCTGGACAGTCTGCTTCAAGGGCACTGGGTTTTTCTTAGGGGTATACCTCTTCTTGTCACTGGCCGAAGCACACGCCAGGATGTGTCTATGCAACTCCGGCATGTTGTCAACACCCTTCCCGCACTTTGTGCAGCGGATGGCAGTGGTGAACGTCTGTGGAATATTGTGTGTAGTGAAATTTGTGGCCGTCACACCGATGCCCATGGGGTTCCGGTGATGGTACTGAAATGGGGGTGGTTTAAAGCTCGGGTAATGCTGATTGAGCCCCAGTCGGACATCCGGGTCTTTCGTCTTTATGCCGGAAGCCATTATTTTTATGGTTGTGTAAAGCTCTTCGGAGGAATCATTCAGCTCTTCTTCTTCTTTTGACGCCTCTAAAGGATCTTCTGGCAAACTCTGCATGTGCTCTCGATGGGCCTTGCTGGGATCGGTGAAATTCTGGGGCCTCAGGGTGCCGCTTTCAAACTCATGGTGGGTGCACACCTTGTCTGGGTGGAGATCTCGCTGGTGCTGCTGCAAATTGCACAGAAAAGCAAATTCTTTTTTACAAACGGAACACACAAAGATATTCCCAACGCCATGAAGCAAAAAGCGATGTTCTGACAGATCAGTTTTAGCCTTAAAGAGCTGCACACAAAATTCACATTTGAAGGGCCATTCTTCAGCATGGACAGATAAATGTTTGGTTAGATCTTTAATGGAAAGAAAAGGTGATTCACAGACATTACAGACGAAGTTTTTGTTGAATGTTTCCTGAACAATCTCCTGTTCAACTGCAGACTGGGCTTCTTCCCTGGGTTTCGGATCGTCATTCTCTAGTTCCTCCTGCTTGAAGGTTATCATGGGGAGAGAAGCTTCCAGATTATCCCCAGAGGAAACAACAGAGGATACTGCTGAGAGTGGTGGCGGCGAGGGGGAAGAGGAGGAAGATGAAGAGGAGAAGGAAGAAGAGGAAGACGACGAGGAAGACGACGAGGAAAGGGTGGGGGGTCCGGGCGAGGCAGCAGACGTGAGCGGCTCCACAGAAGGGATGGGAGATGGTGACGGAGACACTGTAGGGGAGAGAATGGGAAGCGGGGACTGCACGGTGGCATTCGAGAGAGGAGAGGGACACGGACGGGGAGAAGCCCCGGAAGAGGGGACCGGAAGAGGGACAGTAGGAAGGAGTGGAGGCGGTGGCGTGGCAACAGTCAACACCGGAGGACAGGCTGGGGGGGAAGAGGGGTGTGTTGGGATCAAGAGAGGAGGCAGCTGCCCAGAAGAAAGGGAAGAGGTCTGCAGGGCAGGTGAGGAAGGAGAGACATCGGGTGGGGACTCAGCCACAGGGGCCGGTAAACTGGAATCCGGGCCAAGGCCAGTGTCTGGCTGGGGATCCAGGGACTGACAAGGACTCGGGCTCCGCGTCACATCTGCAGCGCTCTCTACCGGTAAATCGAGGCCATTGTACTCATTGAGAAGAACCTTCTGCAGCATGCACGTGGTTGGTTTCTTTTTCTTTACAGCATTGCAGGCTTGCTGCACCAGATGGTTTTCTTTGAACTCCTTGCCTTCCGAGTCGCCACACGGCTTCTTATGCACGCTGAGATCCAATACGGATTCCCACTGGACGGGAGTCTTGCCTGTGCCCTCAGCCTTCTGTTTGACACCGCTGGATAAATCCAGCGGCTGCTGGTTGCACACATTGCTGAAAGTAGAACTGGCTACCCACTCCTTGGATACTGGATATTCGTCAAAGCACGGCGGGCTCACGGCTTCTCTCTCCTCTCTCCCAGATGAACTCCACGCCGGTGAGTTGCTGTGGCTTTCTAATTTGGGCTTTTTGGAACCTAGAACTCCATCGGTCCACGCTGCTTTGCCGTCGCTCTGCTTTGCAAAGTCTCGAAGGGCGGGACTGTGCTGCGGGGAACTGGGAGGAGAACTGGTCCGCCGCTTAAACCTGCTCGAGGTCACGGGGAGCATCGATGCAGGAGCAGACACACAGACAGGCCCTAACTTCGGGATTTCGGTCGTGGAAATGCCTGCAGGAGGAGTTAGCTTGTCCTGGGTCTGAAGAAGTTGTTTGAGCTTTGATGACAAGTACACGCTTTTCTCTTTGTGGAAAGACACGGCCTCTGACGTGGCTATGGTGAGAGGCAATAAGGAACACGAGGGCACCGAGGGGTCAGGCTCCGTCTCGGCTTTGATTTTAGGTAGTGTGGGAGGACTCGCGGTTCTCCGTTTCTTGGACTCACTGTTTGTGCTACCGGAGGGCTCTTTAGGAAGATCATCTGCTAGGGAGGCCTGTGCGGTCTTGACGTTTTGGGTGATCTCCACCGTGACCGGAGTAAGCAGACAATTTATCCCGTACAAGTCCGCCGAGCCTGACTCCATCTCGATGACGTCACAGTTACTCGTGCTGCTGCTGGTCTGAATTTTGCCATCAATATAGAACTTCAGGTTTTCCGAGATATTGCTGGAGATATCCATGATGTACACGTCGTCTGCCTCCCCGTCCTCCTCGGGCTCTGTGCTGGGCACGTAGACACTCGGGGCGGGTGGGGCGGGCTCCGCGGGAGGGCGCGGCTCCTCCAGGAGGCCCCCTTTCCGCCGCACGCCCTTGGGAATCAGGTGACGCTCGTGCACCCTGCGCTGATGCCGTCTCATATTGGTGTGCGTCCCGAAAACCTTCTTACAGTATTTGCACGGATGAAGCTCTCTGACTTCCCCATTTTCTTCCCCAACAGAAGGCTGGATGGCCTCTTGGGGGGCCTTCTCTGGATGCGCCAGCAGCGAGTCCTGCCCGAGCCCGGACGGCGGCGAGTCATCCTTCGCGGCAGCCCCGTCCCCAGGCGCCCTGCCGTCGGCCGGCTCTCCGGGCGGCTGCAGCGGGACGCTGGGCTTCCGCTTCAGCCCTGCCTCGTGGCGCCGCTCGTGCCGCCTCCGGTTGATCTGCGTGCCGAACGCCTTCCCGCAGTACTTGCACTTGAAAGCATGATTGACCGTGGATATGTGAATGTGCATGTGCCGTTCGAGCCCCTGTTTGGTCGTGAACTTCCTCTCACAATGCTGACACGGAAACAGAAACGTCTCGAACAGGTCGCCGTTGGCCTCTTCTTTAGTTCTGGGAGTTCTGGGAACAGGTGGAACCTCCAGAGAGCCCGCAAGCGCTTCTTCTGAAACATTTTTTGGTTCTTCTAGTAAATCTTCTGGCTTCTCATCACATCGTATCTCCGGCTCTTTCGCAGAGCTTTCATTTGGCATGTCCGCTTCCTCCTCCCCCTCTTCCTCCAGCTCGTCCTCCTCGTCTTCTTCCTCTTCCTCCTCTTCCTCCAAATCATTCCCCTCACAGTTCGTGGCTTCTGGCTTCTCGTCCGGTTCTGTGTGGGGCTCACAGGCGGCGGGGGGAGCTACCGGCTCTGGAAGCACATCCTGACTGACCGCCTCCTGCAGAACGGCGGTCTGCTCCGCAGCGGAGACGGACGGCTTCTCGTCCTCTTCTCTGGGACCTAGAAGGCACAGGGAAGCAGAAGCATGGGCGTGAGGACGAAAACTAGCCGCCTGAGGATCAGTTCTTAGTATTCAAACGATTGCTCTTATCACCGAAGACGGGTGCGGAGACTACGACCAGCAACCCAACGCTCTACCTCCTCGCGTCTGAAGCTACAGCCCAGGAACCATTCTGTTCATCTCAACAAACACTCAGAGAGCCCGTCACGCACCAGGCAACGCGCCGCGTGGCGAGGATACGTGTATGAACACAGTGTGCCCACGTGGAGCCCCGAGTCTCTTCTGTGTTCAGTCACACGTATGTAAATTCCATTTTGTTGACAGAAAGTGTGATTATTTACAACTGTGCTGGAGGGGAGCCCGGGTGGTTCAGTCAGTTAAGCGTCTGCCTTAGGCTCAGGTCATGATCCCAAGGCTCTAGGGTCGAGTCCGACACTGGGCTCCCTGCTGGTCCCTCTCCCTCTGCCCCTCCTCGTGCTTGTTCTATCTCACATGTACCCTCTCTCTCAAATAAATAAAACCTCTAAAAAAACCAACAAACAAAAAAACCCACCGGCATCTGATACGGACACAATACGGGATTCGGATCCAGTATGCAATGATACTGGATATATCAGGAGTCTGGTCGTGAATTCTAATTCCTCTTGATTCCAAACTGAAACTAGGAAACTGGAAATCACATCACCAGGCTAGGTTCTTCATAGGTTGTCTGGAACAGAATGATTCTCTCCCTCCTTCCCAACCAAAACTATATATTTAGAAGCTAAGACATTTCCCAAGACTAATCAAATTATTAAAAACTCAGGAGCTGTGGAGAAAAGGAACCCTCATGCACTGTTCTTGGGAATGCAAACTGGCACAGCGCTGTGCAAGACAGTACTGGAGGTTCCTCAAAAAAGTAAAAAAAAAAAACAAAAAAAAAAACAAAAAAAAAAACTACCCTAAGATCTAGTAGCTGCACTACCGGGTTTTTACCCCCCAAAATACAAAAACACTAATTCAAAAGGATATATGCACCTCTATGTTTACTGCAGCATTATTTACAACAGCCAAGCTGTGGAAGCAGCCCAAGTGCCCACCGACAGTTGAATGGCTAAAGACGATGTGGTGCGCACACACATGAATATTATTCAACCGTAAAAAAGTGTAAGATCTTGCCATTTGCAACATGGATGGAGCGAGAGAGTCTAGCGCTAAGCAAAGTTGGTCAGTCAGAGAAAGATGAATGCCATATGATCTCACTCAAGTATGGAATTTTAAAAAGAAAACAAATGAGCAAAGGGGAAAACAGAAAAAGACAAACCAAATAACGGACGTCTCTTAACTACCGAGAACAAACCTGTGGTTACGGGGGGGGGGTTGGGGGGGGCCCACAGGTGAAACAGAAGATGGGATTAAGAGTAGTGTAGTGATTCAGTAGTTCTGTACAGGCCTCTGCTCATGATGAGAAGTGTCACACTGGAGGTTAACTGTATGTTAACTATATGAAACCAGTGTCACACTGGATGTTAACGACACTGGAATTAAAGTAAAAACTTAATAAAAAGAAAAAAGAAGAAACCCACCTGAGCCCAGACAAGTGGTCAGGGAGGGACTCACTAGTACGAGGACAGCGGAGCAGAAGTCTAAAGAAAATGAGTTACGAAAATATCTGGGGGAGGGAAGCCCTCCAGACAGAGGAAACAGCAGATGCACAAGCTCTGAGTCAACAGGTTAGATGTGTTCAAACAAACAAACAAACAAACAAACACAACCAGCAAGAAGTCAGAAGGTCTAGAATGAAAAGGAACTGAGCAATTAAAAAAAAGAAAACTCTAGATGGACAAGGATGAAGGCAGGGAGAGGTGGTGGGAAGTGGTCAGACACTGGACAGATGTATTTTGTTTTGTTTTTAAGATTTTATTTATTTATTTGACAGACAGAGATCACAAGGAGGCAGAGAGGCAGGCAGAGAGAGGGGGAAGCAGACTCCCCGCTGAGCAGAGAGCCCGATATGGGGCTCGATCCCAGGACCCTGAGACCATGACTGGAGCCGAAGGCAGAGGCTTAACGCAATGAGCCACCCAGGCGCCCCTGGACAGATGTATTTTGAAGATGAAAGACTAACAAGATTGCTGACTGGCTGTGGTGGGTAGGGCAGGGGAGGGGGGAGGGAGGGAGGGAGGAGCCAAGGAGGATTCCACAGCAACTGGAATAATCCTATTTACTGAAAAGACTGAGGGAAAGTAGGTCTAGGCAACGACCCGACCCCCCCCCACCCCGTGTGTGTGTTGAGGGGGAATCAAGAGTTACTTTGGAGACACAAACACACTGACACACACACCTGAGTAAAGATATTATTAAGTCATCTGTTTTGTAGGACTCAAGTTCAACAAAGAGGCTGAGCCCAGACTGTACAAATTCTCAAACTACAAGTGGTATTTGGAGCGGGGACTGCACGCGGCCACCTGAAGAATGAACGCAGGCAGAAGAGGGGTGGGAAAATGGTCCCCCAGAGGTCTCCAGTACTTACAGAAGAATGGCCAGTGAGGTTATCTGGAGAGCCGAGAAGAGTAAAGAAAAGTTCCAAAAGGAGGGAGCAATCAGCTGTGTCCGGAACTACGAACGGTTGGGCTAAGAGGAGGACAAGGGCTGAACATCCAATTTACCAAGGTGGAGGGGTGGTGGCGGCGACAAGAGTGGGGACAAATGCCTAAAGGAGTTCCTAAGAGAAGGGACAGAGCGGGGAGACAGGGAGACTGTAGTGAAGCTATCAAGGAAAGCAGAGACGCAGAGAAGTGGCTGGGAAGAATCACAGGGACAGCAAGGGACTCGAAGCCAGGTCCTGTCACAAGCCCATTTAATGCTGACGGCGCTGCTCTCTGTACAGTCCCACCAGAGTCCCTGCTGAATCAGGCCCCTTTTAAGAAAACGGAACACGCGTTAAGAAAAGCTTTGTAAAGGACGCAGAGCCACTCTGACCGCTGGCTCCCCGCTCACTGTGCCGGTGTTTACTACATGCCTGGACTAGGTGCACGTGACTGTCCAGACCCTTATCCTCACAGAGCTTCACCTTCAGCCTCGGACAAGTAGGCAGGCACCAAGACTGTCATGAATGACCGGCCACGCTTTGGGATTAGTACGGGCTGCTACGGAAGCATGGAGGAGAAGCACCCAACAACTACTTCGCTCATCAGGGAAGGAATGCATCTTAGACAAAGGACTGAGCCGGCTGAACCTGGAGGTCAAGGACAGAAAAGGAAAAGCAAACAGGAGGAATCAAAACGTGTCGCACACTGGAAATTAGTGTGGACTTACTTGGGGGCAGTGGGGCTCCATGAAGGCATTTTAAAGCAGCAGAGCGTCATATGGGAGACTTGGCAGCAAGATGGCTTATGGGATTGGGAGGAGGACAGTCCTGAAGGCTGGAGACTAATTCCAAGGAGGGGGTATTAGAAGGGAGACTAAACGATGGAAATGGAAGGAAGCAATGGACAGAGGAAAGAGCCGCCAGACTGTCAAGAGAAGACACCTGTCAACAGACCCGGTGACCACCTTGATGTGGGGGGGAGGGGCTAAAAAGGCCAACCATTCCCAGCTCGGCAAACACCAGGTATTGGTGAGGAGCTCACCTGCTCAGCCCTGCACCTCTCCCCCCACCGCCCTGGGGAATTAAGTCTTACTTTTACCTGTCCACTACCTCTCTCCCAACAGACCAGCCTTCTCTCCCCGGAAACAAACTTCATTAACCCCACGATTTCCCCACAGACGGGGACACCAGTCATTTGATGGTGGCAGGAGCTAACTCCCTTTCCACATACATTTTCAACAAAGACTCAGCATCTTGCTAAAAAAAAAAATCAAAATGAGACAACAGAAAATGAAAATAACATCTCTAAGGCTTAGTAATTTTAGAGTCCATTTTTAGCCAAAATCTGTGGCTTTTGTTACAAGGGGGGAAAAAAATTCTTTCCCTTTGATTGGTAAACAGTCCCAGACTTAAAACTGTCCAAAGTCATATGGAACAAAACACTCAGAGCTCTATTAATTAACTAGTAAGGCCCACACCAACGTGTATCCACACCCGATGGGGTCTGCTGAATTTTAAAAATAAAGGAAGGTTTGGGGAACACAAAGAAGAGTCAGGACTGTTTGCTCAGTACACAGACTGCTTGCTGAGGACAATGCGGAACATTCAGGAGAAGCTGACAGCTAGCCTGTGAGGAACCAATCACACTTGGACCAGCTACTCCACAAACAGGTTAAGTATTAGGTACTTTTCTTCCTCATAGGACCAAACATCGTGTCAGGAATAAATAACCTGTCTTCAATTACTGAAGTCGAGAGAGGGCTGTTGGATTTTCTTTAATTCTGCCACAAAAGGCACTACGGTTCTTTAGTATCTGTGCTGTCGTTCAAACAAAAGTCTTAATTAGCAAATCTGCTATCAGCACACAGAACTGGGTGTCACAAGGCTCTAGGAAATCAACCTGTCTGTTCTTGCTTCATAAAATGCCACAGGATATAATCCTTTGCGAATGTCATCATCGCAAACAGTGCTAATAAAGTGGTTTATTAAAAAGGTATCCAAATACTCTGGTTTCTCTTCAGATCACATAAATTTTTCGCCCTTTTTAAAAGGCATCCAAAATATTTTGTTGGGTTTTTTCCTCTACAAATATTTCTTGGAAGAGTCACAAGCCTACACTTTGAAGTTTCCTGTTTGGGTCACTACAGACACTTCTTAGAAAGCTCCAGTCTGCACATATTTGCCACATAACAAATTATGACAGGCCTCCTTCATTTCTATTATCAAAGGTCTCAATATGGTCGCTCAGCTGCAAGGAGCACAGAGCAATCTGCCTTTCTGATGAATTTGCAATCCATGCCTCTCTCTCTGAATTCTCACCTCGTGGAGGGCCTAGAATATCAATCCTCAGAAGGGATGATAAGAAAATCTGGTATGGAGAAACACGAAGAAATAAAATAGGAATTTAATTTCTAACAAAAAACAAGGGGCGTGATCCCAGGGTCCTAGGATGAGCCCCACAGCTCCTTCTGACCTCCTCCACCCCCACTCATCCTCCCTCTTTCTCTCTCAAATAAATCTTAAAACACACACACACACAAACAAGAATACTCTTCACTCTGCACACTTTTCATGCTGATATATAAAATCAAGGTGTATGATATTTCAAGTGAGTTTTTAACTGAAGTGCAAACATAACAATATAAGGATATAAATCATAAGCATACAGCTAGATAAAATACTTTGGAGTAAACACACTGACACGCTCCCACGCAGCTCAGGGATGGACTAGTGTCAGTGTCCCCGAAGCCTTCTCAAGCCCCTGCCAGTCTCACTTCAATCACCAGAGATTTGTTTTTGATGGTTCTGAACTTTAAAAATTATTTATAAGTATCATCATATAGTATATGTTTCATTTCATTTTAACCAGGGAATAATTCCGTTTTCAACAAAGAAGGTCTTTACTAATATTTTTAAGAGGAGGTGGGAGGTGGAAGGCTCAGTTCGCCATGTTAAATTCAGGGAGCCTTTTGCTGTTAACCCTTTCCAGTTCTTGGGTGAAGTCTCAGAAGGGCATCCCAAGGAGATTTACAATAACTTCTCATACATACCGAAATCATACAAGGCCAACTTCCAAGCTTACCTTCTGCAGAATCTCTCATATTTGCAGAAGCAGAATCTGGCTCACTTGTCTTCAGCTGTAGGTCTTCAGTTTTGTTTGCTTTGTTTTTACTTTCCTGGGATTTTTTCTTCCCTAAAACACAACATTTATTTATTTACTTATTTACGCACTCACTATCAACCTGAATTCTCGAAAAAGACAAATACTAATCCAATGACAGCAAATGGCAGATTTCTAGGCGATTGTATCAGATTTCTAAAGAAAGGAACAGACGATGAATCAGAATACTTTTAAGTCGTGTCAGAGAAAAAAAAAAGAAACCCATAATCCTGTATTCTTGGGCATGAGTTCCCCTACCAAACTAACAGATCATCTATTCCAGAAAAGTTAAAAATATTGATGTTGGAGGAAAATGAGAGTGATAACTAACATCGAGTTTCAATACCACACAAATAAGGACTGGCAAAAGTCTGTGAGAAGCACACCAGGGAAAAACAAGACAGTAGAACCTGGGCTCCTTTTAGTTAAGACGTGCGTATCCGTAACTGTGGAGGAAAACGGCAGGAGGAGGCTCCGTTGAACTGCCAAGGACGCACGCCTATGCGCAGTGGCTCCAATACCAAATGCAGAGTAATTAGGAATAATTAACTCCATGTCGAGCCAGCATGAATCCTGAGGGTGCCCATGGACTGGACTCCGGGTCCAGTACAATTCAGGATTCCCTAAACAACGGGAAGAATGGAATTCAGGAAACACTAACTGGATTCCAAACGCTACCAAAGCTCAGGAGGTAAGATTAAAATGCAATGCACTTCTGACAAGCTAGAACAAGGAGCTCAGGTCACCAAGATACTCAATACGGATAAGCAATTCTCCAGAAAAGTACCAGTACTGAAGGTTTGGAAGCTCAGTCTCTTTGGGATTTAACCAGAATCTGTGGCCCTTCTTTGGTATTTTTTTAAATTCCGAGTTTCTTTGTCCTGGTAGCTCTTGCTTTTCAGTTTTCAGATTCAGAACAGGTTCCTCTTCATCCTCCCCAAACACTCCTTCCCTCTCCTTCTGCAATGCGGGGCGGTCCTTCCTCTTTCAGAACAAGGTTCGTGACACCTTTTTGTCTGAACTGGCAAAATGAGGAGTGGAAACCACTCACTGCTCCTGGAAAAGGATCACTACGGAGGAGCAGCATTAACTAAACTATAGACGACACACGAAAATGAGGTGAGAGATACAAATAACACTGAAAAGTTCAGAAAATGGAAACATCCATTATAATATGAATCAAATAATCCTAAAAAACACCATCAAATTTTGATAAATAATTAAGAGATGAAATGGGGGGGGAGACAATATACTCAATAATTGGCCAATACTGTTTTAAATCCCTAATTCTTTGATCCATGAAAAAAAAAATGCTTTGATGCTTTCTGCCAAGACATAAGGTAACAGTCTGTGCAAATAAATTCTGGTAACACCTCCATCCCTCATTTCCAAAAGCACCTAAAATGGGACTCAGGACCCAAGCAAGCACTTCCCTGAAACCACATTCTGGTGGGAACAGAAGCCAAGAGCCTGCAGGGGAAGGATTATAAAGCAATCCCCCTCTGTAAAGGGCAAGGACACAAATGACACCGCTCCACAGCGGAAGATGTAAGCTCCTCTTGCAATTCTCTCTCCCTTGGTCAACTGAATGGCACGAAGCCCGAATGTGATGACGACAAGGCTCCTGAGGAATCCGGCTGTGCTTCAGGACGCCTACATTCCATCTACTTCCAGACAATTTTCTTATCCTCCCGACGACAGACGCCCTTCCCCGTGTGCGATGCCCAGTCCCTATCAGATCGCTGGGCGCAAACAACACAGGTAGAAATGATTCCCGGCTACTAAGACAGTTCCTCTAATGCAGCAGTTCCTGTCTGCTGAGATCCCTGGGAGGACTCCTGAGCCGCAGGGTGCTTAATTTGAAAGTTAGATTCAGGAAAGTTTTTCCCCTGAATCACGAACACAAAAGTGTTTTAAGACGTCACATACCACGTCATGTACCCCAAAGAGCCCAAGGAATGACCCTTTCTTACCACCTACTCTCTACTTTGCACAGGCCTGAGCTTTTGGAGTAAGTAAAGGTGGAGGTACAGTGTACACTTTGCCTGGTACACATGAAGCTTAGGGACATTAAAACAAGTCACACTGAAATTTAACAGAAAAACAGATGTCCTTTATTGTAATAGAATCCCTTAAAAAAGCAATTCAGAGATTTTCTGCAGCCTCTCAAGCGCTATACAAAGCTGGTTAGCAGGTCATACAAAAAAACTGGCCTATACGTAAACAAGAGTATTAAATACGTGACGTTCCTAGATTTATAATAGAACAGCACAACCTTAATAATATCACTCACTAATACATACTCAGACTGAAATCACACGACTATCTAAAAGCCAAAAGTACCACTTTAAGTTTCATTCCTGGCCTGAAAGAATATTAAAACACCTAGCTGATAATGTCCATGTCTGCTTCTGGCCTCCCCAAACCTAATCAGCAAGAAGTGCCCCCCGCCCCCCTCCAGCTGTCCTCTTTAAAAAACAAGACCAGGAAACCTTGATGCCCTGTGAAGAGAAACCACCTGAAGCAGGGACATGTGCATCCTACTGAGAGGGCCACAGGCTGCCTGGGCATCCCACGAATTACACCCTCCCTGGGGGGGCTGTCCCATGCACTGAAGGACGCTCAGCAGCACCCCGGGCCTTCACCCACTATATGCCAGGAGCACCCCCACTTTTAACTGTGACAAGCCAAAGTCCCCAGACATGGCCAATGTCTGGGATGGGGGTGGGAGGTCTGCCCAGGTTAAGAACCAATACAATACAGGTCACCAAAGACATAATGGAGCTCTGCAGTCTATATATTTAAGAATTTTAAAAGTATGCGAATACCACTAATAAACCACTTGTAAAAACTAAAGAAAGGGACAATTAAATGTACTCCTGAGTATCTCTGGTGAACACCGACAGACTTAATTTACCATAGAAATGAGCCTATCATGAATCTAATTATCATTTGTTCGTGAGACAGAGATTCCCAGACACATGAAATGATATAATCTTAATCAGAACCATCTGATACTTGAGTTACTTCCCATTAGGACTGCAGACCAGAGAAGAAGGGGCTACCAAAACCACCTGCCCTACCTGCTCTTCTGAGAGAAAAATGAAGGCCAGGGCCCCAGAGGGACCAGCTAACCAGTCTACAAGAGAACAGAAATTAGAGCCCAGGTGTCCCGACTCACACTTAGGCATGCTTTGGTGTCACTTACAAAGCCAAATACTGCCGTGACGGGTGGGAGAACCCGCATCTCCTTAAGTAAGTAAACTTCTTTTCCTGGTACTTTGGTTTCTGTTCTACTTGTAATCAAACTAAAAGAGAAAACAAAAATAAGCCTATAGCCAAAAACCACCGCTAAGGACGCTTACACAAGGGTGCGGGGACTTCTTGGTGTCTGTGAGGCGGGAGGGGCCTCGGGAACGGGTCCGGCAGAGCCCGCTGGGAGCCTGGTAAGCACACGTGTGCACTTACCATCGGGGTCCTGAAGGGTCCTACATAGAAGCTACTGCCAGCTGCGCGCTCCACTTGGTCTAAACAAGAAAGATACAGGAATGAAACACAAGGAAAGTGAAATGGAAACGCCGACAGATCACAATGGAGGACAGGACAAACTTCGTGCGTGTAAGGAAAAGGTACACAGTTATGAAGGAAACTGAATGAAGCAGAAGGAAAAGAGCAGTCACCTATCGCATCAGCGTTCTCAGGCACACACACATGCACGCACACGCGCAGATAAAAATAAATTAACCTGTAACTGTGTTCTCAGCCGTAGACAGGAGGGCCCGCTCGGTATACTTACTCTCAGGCCCGCGCCACATCCCCGCTGTAAAACAGAAGCTCTGACCCCACTTCACCGAAGGCCCCATCCGCACCTCTCATTCTGCAGAGACCCAAGGACCAGAGACGTGAAGTCATGTGCCCAAGGTCACACGACTAAATCAGCTCTAGAGCCAGAATGCACCCGCAAGGATGATGAGGCTAAAAGTGATCTTGTTACTACGTTTCTTAAGACCAGTAATGACATAATAAAAACATCATATGCTGTATAAAGCACTTTTTTGTTTTTTAAGATTTTATTTATTAGAGAGAGAGCATGTGCATGAGCAGGAGAGGAGTGGACAGAAAGAGAAAGAGAAACCCAAGCAGACTCCTGGCTGAGCATGGGGCCCCACTTGAGGCTCGATCCCACAACCCTGATTATCATGACCTGAGCTGAAACCAAGAGTCAGACACACAACCAACCGAGCCACCCAGGCACCCCTACAAAGCACTCTCTATGCACTATCTCACTTGGTTTCAAAGACATATGAAAGAAAAAGTGACAGAGACATCCACTGCCATTTATAGAAAAGGCACAAGAATCAAACTGGAGTGCAGACTTTTTTTTTCATTTCAATTTTATCTGATGCCAGAAACGCTCATCAGTCAATAGCACAGAACCTCAACCTAAGCAAATATGATTCACCATTAAACAGTATCAGTAACACTGGGGTTTCTAGTGAAATAGCTACCATGTAGAGAAGTCAACAGTCATAATGACTACTCTTTAAAGATAATGTCTAGCATTATACCTCTGGTGTCTGGGATGCAAGTTGCAAAATCAAAATTGCCTAAAGCATCACAGAAATAGTTTAACTTAGGTCTGGACTGTGTTCTACTAGTCTAATAAAACCGGTCAAACACTAGCAAATTCTAGAGAATAATGTTTCACTTAAAATGTGCAGGCTTCAGAGAAAACACCAAATTCTGGAAGGCGTGTTCAAGTTCCATTAAAAATTCATCACAACAGCGAAGGCTCATGCACTTCATGATTTAAGTGAACTAAATTTAGAACCCTATGTAACTCTGCATGCACCGCCTCCTCACTGGGGAGCTACCCAGCTCCTAGGTACAACATGAGAATTCAGTACTGGTGCAGAGAAGCAGGGCTCGGGAGCTCACCATCTTACTCACATCCACAGCTGATTCCATACCAGGTGAGGCCCCATCTCTGAGCACTTACCATGAAAGGTCATCAAGAACATGAGCTGCCCTGA